GCTACCTGGATGCCTTCCAGGCATCTCCAGTCATACAGAGAAGCTGTGACCCCAGTCTAGCCTATGCCCAGCAACCATCCACCTCTCCAACTGCCATGTGGGTGGAGGAGTGGGAATTAAATGAACAGCATAGTTCTTGAGGCGGTACAGGAAGATGAGAGGGTCAGGGGAGTGCCCGACATGAGGGCAACACACGCCCAGGACCGTATGTACGTCCAGGTGGGTGTGTATGTCCCAGCGTCCACCCTGGCGTGAGCCTCGAGGAAGTGCCCCAGCAGCTCAGGACAACCACGCCCTGTTTCCGTGTTCCCTTGTACACTGGGCAGAAGAGGTCCTCACGGGCCACACTGAGGCGTCCAGAACCCAACTCACCCACAGGGAAAGGTAGGGCAATGACCGTCCCTCCCAAGTGGGCGCTATCCTGACACTACAGGTGCCCCACACCTTACAGAGGGAAAGCGAGGGGTCAGAGGGCAGAGCCTCCGCCCAGCAGCCAGGCAGTGGGGCAGGCCTTGGGTCAGGGCCCCAGGACTCCTAGTGCAGTGCTCTTGGTGCCTGCAGCAGAAGCCTGTGTCCTGGGCTGTCTAATGCACACCAGAGAAAGCCGTGGGATTCTCGGACTCCATCTGCCATCAGCTGCCACACTGTGGGGTTGACTCCTTAGATGTGCCCTATGTTCACACTGGAAGGGGCATACCCAGGACAGATGTCCCCGCCACCCCAGTGGACCCTGCCTTGTGCCTCATGCCTCATGTCCTGTGACTTCTCAGACGGGAAGCCTGGAGACGCAGTCACCACTTACTTGCACATGCCAGCTGTTTCCCCACTCCCTTCTGGCACGTGATCTCATCAGACCACCATGACCTGAGCCAGGCATGTCATTGGTGCTTTGAAGATTTCTGGGTTTCCAGAGTCAACCTGTTCAAACTCCCCATGGCCGGCCAACGCCTACACATCTGTCAGGGGATAATTAGGCCTTGGGAAGCAGGAGGCAGGACAGAGGGGCGAAGAGGGGTCAGAGGGGAAAAAGAGGAGAGGGGGAGAGGCCCCAGAGCCCCTAGCACCCACCCCTCAACCCTGCAGCAAGAGGTTCCTTGCAGGCCCTTCCCTGCCACCCCCAGTGGCAGAGACCAAGTCCACCCGCGAGGCCAGAGACTGGGCAGAACCAGAGGGGTGAGAAGCGACACAGGAGGGGGAAAAAAGGAGGGACACACCAGCCAGAGGCTCTTCATCTCCATCCATTTTATTCTACAAAATGCTGCTCGACCGAAGTGGAGAAGCTGACAAAAAAACCACAGGGGGAAGGAGGGTTCACGTTTTCTTTCTTCCACAGTAGCAAGCTTTTCTAGCAAGCTTTCTGTAGTGCAGACACTGCAGGCTTGTGTTACAAATGGCAAAACAGCAAAACACGGCAGACACCACCAGAAATGCTGGGACCAGGCTACCCCTCGACCTTCAGGACTACACACAGACACAGGGCTGTGGGGGACCCTCGGGGACCATGTCACCACCACTTGATAGGACATAGGTGCCTAAAAAGGTCTTTGAAGTCCCCACAGAGCCACGGAACCTTGGACACGTGTTTGCCCCAGGGTCTCAGAGCTGACTCCAGCGACATGTCTCAACACGGGTGCACAGAACTCGTCACTGTCCACAACACACCCACACATGCACACACACCTCCCACCAGAGGCCACCTGGCCTTGACACAAAGTCGAATGTCTCCTTCCTCAAGTAAACACAAAGTAAAAGAAACGGAATCAATTTCTAGTCATACAGATAAGTCATTTTGTTGTGTTCCCTCACAATGTAGACATTGGGTGACCACTGTCCCCACGGAGGGACAATCCACCTTCAGGACAGAACCCCTCAATACAGTTTGTACAGCACAAGTCACAATCACTTTAGAAACAAAAAGCATCATCATCCTAAATTTAAAAATCAAAGAAGCGAGAGAGGAGGAGCGGAGTGCTTTAATGCTGTCTGTTTCTATGGAGGCTTGATACGACACAAGGGAGATGTAAACTTTTAAAATAAATAACAACAGAAATGTCCGTTTCTTCTCCCCCTCCCTTCCCCATATCCCCGAAATGTGACCCGGCCCACCTGCACCTGCTGCCCTGTGCTGGAGCGCAGCCCTTGTGCATGTGCGGCCGAACGCCAGGAGCACGGGAGCTGCCGTGGGCGGTGGGATGGCCGGGCTGCCTCTAGGACAGCTACAGGACACGGCACGGCTGGAAATGCATACGCGCACACACACGTACACACACGCACACATGCGCGAACACACACACATCGGCCGGCCAATAAATAGAGATGCTGGCTTTTAGCTGGATGCCAAGACGACTCAGCAAGCAGACTGTAGCAAGACCCTTTACTCGAGGGCTGAAGAAAGGCATACACACCACATGCCCTACTGGTCCAGATTCCCGGGGACGCAGGTGCCCCTCCAGTCCCCAGGAGGGCCACGAGTGCGTGGCAGGCAGGGGCCATCTGGTGACAGTGACAGTGTAGGGACAGCTCTGGGAGGGCCTACACCGAGGGAAGCTGCATCACCGGGATCTCAGCGGAAGGCCTCCTCGTCTCCAAGTGCTTTCGTCTGTCTGTTACCGGGGCCTGTGCCGGTGAACGCCCGTGCCCCGTTGCCTTGTCCCAGAGGGTCTGTGTGAAAGTGCCCAACACAGTGCCTGGCACCTGGTGGTTGTGTGTCCTTCTCTTTCCTGAAGAGGCCACGGAGATGTCTGACTGGAAGGAAATCAGGTGAAGTTGCCTGGCGAGACTGCAAGGAGCCCTGCTGGCCCATCAAGGAAAGGGAGGAGAGAGTCCCAGTGCTGTCTCTGGGGAGGAGGTCCGGTGGCTGCATGTTGGCCTCTTTTGGAAACCCCTGGGGACCACCCCACTTGAGCTGGCTCACAGTGTCGAGCTTTACCCAGGACCCCCTCCTCCCTGGGTCGGCAGCTGTTGCTATCCACCTGGCCAGGGAGGGCTGTTCCCGAAAGGCAGCCGGGTGGCGAGGGGACCACATGCCTGCCCTGTGCCGCCCCAGGGCCACCTGCAGCCAGCCGAGTTCACAACCACTGCTTCATGGCTGAAAACGGAGGACGCCCAGCAGTTCCAACCCCAGCATGGCAGAGCCAACAGCCGCCCCTCAGCTGGAGCCACAGAGAGCGGGTTAGGCATCTGGACTTGAAGAACCATGAGAGGACCCAGGGGTGAGCAGGAGACCGCAACCCAAGGATGTGCTCATAATGGGGTGAGGACCCAGCCCTTCAAACCGCCCTGGCTCAGGGAGGCAGAACACCCTTCTAGAACAAGGCTGGGGGTCTTGAGAGACCCTGCTCCCCCAGTCTTGTGGTCAGCCAGTTGTCCATCTTCTCTGCCGGCTCCAACACCAACGTGGCTTGAAATCCCAAAGGATGCCAGGCTCTGTCTCAGGGTGTCCAGCCTAGCCCTGAGTCCCAGGGTGCAACGTGCTCTGGGATCCAGGCTGAGCCACTGGTGTGCAAGAGGGCTTCAGAAATAAAAGACCAGAAGGCAGCATTATCCAAGGGCTGTAAATACAAAGCCAGATCCCACCCCACCCCGGCTGCCCACTGCGAGGGAATTGTCTTCACTGCTTGGGCCCAGATGTTTCCACCCATCTCCAGCCTCCTCCCAGTGAATTCTGCTTCTTGGACTCATCCGAAGCCGTCTTCTTAGCAGAGCTCTTCCTTGGCCCTGGGAGACCAGGAGGGCAGCATCACAGCCAAGAAATGTGGGAAGTTATGTTTTTAAGTATTTTGGACCAAATCCTTTTCCTTGGACTCCTGTCTCTGGGTGGCTGGCTCTGCACACGTCACTTCCAGTCCTGCTGGGTGGGGCTTGAGGCGTGCTCTGTGCCTCTCCGTGTCCAGGCGTGAGGGTGGGTCACGAAGATGATGCCAGCAGGGGGTGTGGTGCACGAGGGACCCGCCTGGGCATGTGCCAAGCTCTCTCCAGAGCCGAGTTCAGAAACTGAGCTCTGGGGTGGGTGCCACACCCAAGCCGACACGACGTGGCCTCCCTCAGGCCCCAGTCCAGCACTGGCTGGTTCTGGCCAGCTCACTGCTCCCAAGATGCCTTCCAACTCTGCCTGCCAGGAGGCCCAGCAGGAGCTGTGCCCTGGGGAGGGAGGCAGGGACCTGCAGAGCAGTGCCCTTGCTGGAGCCAGCGGGACCCACCCCCACCCCCAGCCCCGTGGGAAGCAGCAGCCCTCCTGCCGTGGGAAGCAGCATGCCCTGTCTCCAATGTCAGCAGCCAGGAAGATTCAACAGAAAACTAGGGCTGGCATTAGCCATGAGCCACCACGACCGCTCAGGCCAGCTGCTTACAGCACGACCCCAGGGCTGGGACACTTGACCCACCAGGCGGTGGATGGCCACAGAGGGCTGCAGCAAGCGCCCCCAGCACTATGGTCTCCCTCCCTCTCCAGCCAGCCCAGCCATCAGGAGGGTCCAGGTCAGGATCATTAAATCTCCATGGGTGGTGTCACCCTGAGTGCTAAGCTGGGAGAAGGGTGGAGCCCGGCAGGGACTTGGAGTGACGCAGTGACTTGTGGCTCCCGGGAAGGACGTCTCTCCACGGGGAGAGAAGGGTCCAGGGCAGAACACTGAGGCCACGATGACAGGAGACGCCCTGCTCAGGTCACGGGAGGAGGGAGGCTGGCTGGGCCACTGTGTGGCCTTGTTAGCATGACTCCTGCCCTGGTTACGAGGCATTTGGCAACCCCAGCCTTTGCCTGGCTGTCTCATGCACACCTCGTCTTCTGGCCCAGCCACTCCTCCTCGGTCAATCCCAAGGTGGGAGGAAGGGTCCTCTGGGCCTCCCAGGGTGACAGCATCTCTGCAGTGGTTCCAGAGTGCACTGGGGGGCACTAGGATGGGGAAGGGGTTGCATTGCACTCTGACTGTCCCCTCTGGACAAGTCAGCCCGCAGAAGAGGCACCTGCCGTCCGGCTCCAGATACGAAGAGCTTTAATATTCAAACCACCCAGGTGAAATGTCATGGCAGACTTGATAGACACTAGCAGAGAGTGATCCTGACCCTGACCCTGACCCTGAGGGGACAGGCCAAGGGAAGGAAAACAGAAAGGCACTGGGCATGCTGGGTGGGCAGGAGGGACACCACTGCTCCAGAGACAGCAGAATGAGGGCACGACCCAGGCCAGCAGCAGGCTCTGCAGAAACAAAGAGGGGCGCAAGTCCCAACCCAGTCCTCCAAGGCGCGTCAAGACGGGCAAGGGATCAGCTTGCATCCTCTGTCGCCTCACCACCACGTCCACAGGCCCCAGAGCTGGGAAGCCCTGGGGCAGGGCCCCCTCCTGTGTCCCAGAGCACCGGAAAGTGCTGGTCCCTGGGAAGGAGGCAGTGACGAGGGCCCTCGGGAGCTGGGAGGAGGGGCGCTGGGTTACAGAGCCAGCAGGGTGGGGGAGTTCAAGGAGTCTGACGACTGGTCCCCGCTGCTGCTGCTTCTGCGGTGTGCCTTGGAGCAGGACTCAGAGGGTGATGCGGGCGACTCCTGCTCCAGGACGCTGGGGTAGGTGAAGACGAGGCTGGAAGTGCCCGGAGTGACGGCGGGCGTGGAGGTGACCACAACGGGCGTGTGCAGGGGCTCCTCCCCATAGAAACCCCCGGCGATGCTGATGGGCTTGATGACAGAGCGCTGGGCCTTGTCCAGCCCCGCTGCCGAGGACGAGGGGCTGTCCTCCTCCAGGGGCTCCTGCTTCACCACTACAGCACCCGCTGCACCGGGCCCGCCACGCAGGGCCTGCAGGCCAGACGCTGGTGGCGAACGACGCTCCTCGGGGCTGACCTTGCACACGGGGCCATGCGCCACCAGCATGAACTCCAGCTTCTCCTTCTCCTTCTGCAGCTCGGCGATCTCCTTCTGCAGGCCGGACTTCTCCTCCTCCAGCTCCTCTGTCTCCTGCGGGGAGGGAGGAGTGAGGCGCCTGCGGGACAGGGCCAGCCAGGAGGGCGGGTGCTGGCACTGAGAGATGACCTCATCCAGTCCCGCGGCAGCTATGGGAGCAGATGTCATCATCGCCCCATTTGGCAGATGAGGACGCAAGGCTCAGAGGCGTTTCCTAACGCGCCCGGAGTCCCAGAGCCGGCAGGCAGGGCCGCCCCGACTGACTCCCACAGCTGCTCCGTGGAGCCAGGACTGCCCCTGGGGACCCTGGGAGGCAGTAAGGGAGAGGTCTGCACAGAGAAGGGGCTCAGGACACAGCTCCCCTCAGTTTGGACCTCGACCCGTGCCAGCCCTGAGGACCAGACACGTTTGAGCCGCCGTGACACCTCCCAAGACAGGGCTGGCTCAACGCGGGGCTCAGCCAGGCCTGTGGGGGTCATTGGCCCTCCCCCATCTGCTCTGATACCTGGAGCACGTGTTAGGACAGGGCCCCAAGGACATTCCGTGAGAGGGCCACCCCGCGCAGGGCCTCAGCCCTCTTCCCAGAGCCAGTGACCACACATGGAGGAACCGTTGCGGGTGGGAGAGGTGGGTGAGACCACCCTCCCCTCCTTTCCCCAACACAGACTCCCGCTGCCAGCGAGGAGACATGCAGGAGCCTCAGGAAGCCGAGAACAGCGGATTCCGGAGTGAAAAAAAGTTTCCATCTGTCTAAGGGTCTGACAAACGTCACGAGCCAGAGAGGCTTCCTGTGGAGGATGTGGCTCGGGGGCCAGGGTGGCAGGGTCAGGGCGAGGGAGGGGCAGGCGGGAGACTCCTGGGCGGGGTGTTGGGGAGCCTCAGGGGCCGCGGCAGGGCCCTTCTGGGCTGGAGGTCAGGAGTGCCCCGGGAGATGCTTGGGGATGGTCCCTTGGAGCACCAGCCAAAGATGTCAGCACGGGGGCTCTGCCAAGGGCTCCCTGTGTGGTGCTGGTCACCCACGGCCTGCCTTGCCTGGGGAGGGAGAGCTCTACGTGCCCCCCAGCCCCACAGGAAATCACTCTAGGCACCACAGGAATCATCAGCACCCAGGAGGGAGGACCAAAGGAGGGACAGATGGGCGTGCAGGCAGGCAGGTGGTACCTGGGAGCAAGAACCTGGTGCTGGGATGTGTCCCCACCCTACCCTGGCACCACTGTGAGGAGCACCAGCAGAGCCCTCGCCTCCTCTCGCTGCAAACACTGCCTGAGAGACTCAGCCTGGCGCTGGGCCGCTCCACATGGCTCCCAGCCCTTCCTGTGCTGGGTTCTGGAGGGGGCCATGACGCCACTCAGGTCTAGCTCACAAGAGGGCAGGGCAGGGCCAGGCCATGGGTCCCAGATTAGGCAGACAGACAGCGTGCAGGAGTGACTCACAGGGCAGAATAAGGCAGCAAGGCCACAGCTCTGTGATAGTGCTGGGGGTGGGAAACCCATGGGCCCATAAAAGCAAAAGAAAACCCTGAGAAAATACCACCCATCTGGCACGTGACCTGTCTCATCCAGACCTCACCCTTGCCCAAGCCAAGCCAGAATGCTTATGCCAGGCAGGGCCATGCCTGAGGGTGGTGGGCACGGGTGGCTGGAACTGCCCTGGCCTGGGGATGGTGACAAGCACACCCTCGCCACTGCCCCAGGAACCCCGGCAGGTCTGTGAGAACACGCAGGCAAGATGTGCGAGGCGTGAGGGTGGCCAGTTCCCACTGGGCCCGGCTAGTGCCTGAAGTCAGCGCCCTTCCTCCTCTCACCGGGACTGTGCAGCCTGTGCCCCAGGGAAGGAATGTTCTGGCTCTACTGACTCATCTGCAGGGCACCTGTGGGCAATCTAGGGGGGGTTGGGGGGAGCCCTGGATCTTGCTCCAGCCCACCCAGAAGCGTTCCACACCCGCAGAGCCCCTCACCGCCTGCAGCTTCTCCGTCAGCTCCCGGCGCCGATTCCGGCACTTGGCTGCTGCCAGCTTGTTCCTCTCCCGGCGGATCCGACGCTTCTCCTCCTCCTCAGGAGACAGCTAGAGGCCAAAGTCAAGGAGCACAATTAGAGCAGGGTATGTTACATGAGGCAAGAGGCCCGTGTGCAGCAGGGAGGGAGAACGGGGGCAAGGGAGGTGGCTGGGCCCAGAGGCCCAGAGCGCGGGCTCAGTGACCCTGCCCTGAAAGGGATACACACGTTTAAAGGAGGAGCAGGGCAGGCAGTGATGGGCCAGGGACACACTGGCCCAAGCACAGTGGCACGCATTGTCAAGTCAGCCCTGAATGAGAGTCCAGGCCAGAGTGGGGAGCGGGACACTTCCCCTGCCAGTCAGGCCTGGCAACTTCTTCCAAGGGAGACAAGCTCCCCCAGCACTGGCTGCCTGCAAGGATCATTATCCCCATGTAGTGATGCTGCTGGACCCGGGGCCCCCACGCAGGTAAGAACCCCTGAGGGAGGTTCTGCCACCACCGTGAGGGATGAAGGTGCCATGGCACTCCGATGTCCTGTGTCCCTAGAGTGCCAGCTGCCCAATGACTCAGCTGTGTGCCTGGCTGGACAGCACACACCACAGGAGAGGAAGGAGCCCCGGTAGGATAGCCCCAGCAGCCCGCCGTACCCTCACTCCACAGAAAGAACCCAGTTTTGTGTCCCTGCCCTGAGCTAAGGACTTGGGGGTGATCTGTGAACCACACAGCCCTTGCAAAGGCTTGGGACCAGGCACTTCCCACAAGACAGCTTGGGGCCTGTCACCTGCGTCAGTGTACCGTCACACAGGGCTCTTCCAGAGCTGAGACCCCAGAGCCTGCTCAGGCAGAGAGGACACAGGGAGAGGGCTGCAGCCAGAGCAGAAAGCAGGGCGAAAGGCAAGGCCATCCCTGTTCGATTCCTTGATGCCTCCTCTATGCCCTCCCATGTTTACTGGAGGCACAGAAGAGTCAAGAGGCACATGGCCTGGATCTGCTCTCAGGGGCCTATTAAGGAGAGAAGCTGCCTATGGCAGTGTGGCCTGGACTGCTGGCCACGCTACAAGGGAAGGAGCTGCTGTCCCAACAGGGCCAGGTCAGAGTCCCAGGATGCTCCCTGCTGCCCTGGCAGTCTGTGCTGGGACAATGAGCAACAAAACTAGACACCACATCAGAGAGGACGCTCCTGCCTCCGCTGAGATGACCCCACAGCCTGAGGTCACAAGGCCATAAGGCCACAGCCCTGAATGGCCGCCGTTCCTAAACCGGTCTCTACCTGAGCCCAACAGGTCACTAGAGAGCTGACCTGCTGCAGCCCGGGCTTAAGGCTCCCGATGGCCAGTGAATACACAGGCCCCTCGCTGACAAGGGCAGAGGAGAGGGGGGCCAGCGTGGTCCACTGCAAGACTTTCTCCCCCTGCTGCTCTGGACAATGTCTGGCCTCATGTCGGTCTCAAAATCTCTCCCTGACCTGGCAGGGTTGGAGCCACCCATGGGTGTTGCCAACACTCGAAGTGTGCGGGGCGCAGGGAGATGGGCATGGCTACAGCCTAAGCATGTCGGCCCCGAGCATCCACCCGTGAGCCACGCACTGCCCTGCCGCTGCCTCAGAGTCAGAACCTCCTGGAAGGCTCTCGAGGAGGCCACAGAGCACCAGGCCAGCTCCGGTACCAAGCTCTTCCCAGGGCTGGGAGACAGGAGGGAGCTGCCCTAGGTTGGGAACCCACGGCCACAGTTAAGACTCTGCTGCCCAGGCTTCCTCAAGGCAGTGGTGCAAGTGACTCCCGGTGGAGGTGGGGAAAAATGCTCCTTGCTCCCTCCTCACCTCAAAGAGAAGGACACTCTCTAGGCAATGTGCTTGGGGCACACCTAGGTGGTGTGAGGTTGAGCATAGGGCTGAGGGCAGAGAGGTGTGTTCCGGCCCTGGCTCTGCTGCTGAGTGTGTGGCTCTGGACGGCACCCTTCACCTTTCTGGGCCTGTTTCCTCATCTTTCACATGAGTCCAGACCAGGCTCAGTAACTGAGCCTGTCGTCCCAGCACTTTGGGAGGCCGAGCCAAGTGGATTGCCTGAGCCCGTGGGTTTGAGACCAGCTCAGGCAACTTGGCGAGACCTCGTGTCTACAATAAAATCAAAAAAATTATCTGGGCGTGGTAGCGTGAGCCTGTAAATCCGGCTACTTGGAAGGCTGAGGCGAAAGGATCGCTGGAGTCTGGAAGGTCGATGCTGGGGCGGTTGTGAGCATGCCACTGCACTCCAGCCTGGGCTACAGAGTGAGACTCCAACTCACAAAAAAATAAAAATAAAAATAAAAAGATAAAATGAGTTCAGAGAAAGACAAACGAAGCTGGTCTCCAGAGACCCTTCTGGGTTTAAATTTATAAGCACGGAGATTGAGTATGTCTACACGGGTAGGTTGCTGTTCTGCTGGTCTAGGGCCTGATAAGTCTCACTTGACTCGGGGCCACCTATGTCCTGGGAGGCTCCAGCTCATCAGTGACCAATCAGGGTTTAGCCTTGGACTCCCTGGAGGAGCATGTTTACAGAGAACTCCGAGCATCGCCACAGTCACGTTCACAGCCACAACTGTGGAAGCCCCGGAGGGCACTGACCACTGCTCAGCAGCAGAAGCCCAGTACCCAGCGGCTCTACCCATCAGTGCCCACCAGATGAACTTCCTGGGGGCCTGCACTGCAGTCCTCCATGGACAGAACACAGCAGTGGGGAGGGATGCGAGACCTGGCTTTGTGCTTGGAGAGGCAGGGCTCCTGAGGAAGCTCCCTGGAGAGGTGGGTGCTGTATTCTAAGTGGCCTAGGACCACTGGCACCACATCACCATTATCCACTGGGAACCATGCTCAAGAGGTCCCTGGACTGGGACACTGAGGGCGCAGGGGAGCCAGAGTGGGACGGGTGGGGCTGACACCGGAGGGTGCCCAAGGCTGTCACTGGAGCAGTGCTCCAGGCCGACACTGCATCTGGAGAGGAATGCCACGCCAAAGCATGTTCCCTTCCCTGGCTCCCGGGGGCAGGGCCCTGGAGACAGAGTACTGCACAGGAGTCCAGAGAACGGGGAGCTAGTCCAGACCTCCCCACCCACTTGCTGAGCCTGCCAGCAGGGTTAGGGTTAGGATTGGGGCTTCAGCGGCACCAGGCTCTCTTTCAGATCCTGCAAGGCCCTGGCATCTCTCTGCAGCATGGCCCTGACTCCCTGCAGGCAAGGAGCCTTTGAGTATTGGGAGCCGCTGCCTGCAGGGCGGAGCCTCCCCACCTCCTGGCTTCCTGCCTAGCCGGGTCAGTTCCCTCTTGAGGCCGAGCCCCTTGAAGAGCTGAAGCCTGGCCTCCTCTACCCTCCATCAGTCCGCCAACGCAGCCCAACAGATTCCACAGGCCCTGGTGTCACCGGAAGATGCTTTGCAGGCCTTGGAGACGGGTTATTGCTCTGAGCTGGAGGCCTAGGACACAGAGGAGCAACAGGCGATCACAGCAGCAGAACCAGCTCAGTCTGACCCTGCAAGGCTTCTAGGGACCTGGCCCATATCAAACAAGGAACATGTGAGGGCTAACTCACTGAGACTCACAGCCAGGGTTCTCTGGCCACTGCATGGCCCCTCTGCCATGGCAGGGCTCTACAGTCCCTTCTGTGCCTGGCACCTCGCCACTGGCAACACGCCTTGCCACACAACCTCATCAAAGCGGAACAGGTCCCGGTGGGCAGGGACCGTGCGCCCCCTTGCAGCTGAGGAGACTGAGGCACAGAGATTCTGAGGGACATGGGTGAGAGGACAGAGGCAGCCCCAACTCTGTTCTCAGCTCTGCATCTGGTGATGGGAGAACGTGCTCCTGCCTTCCGGGGCTCCCGGGACAGGCCCTGGTCCACTCCCGCCTGCACGGGAGGCTGCCCGCATGGGCCCTTCCCGCCGCCTCAGCAGTACCTGCTCGTCTCTCCTCCTGCGGCCCACGGTGGTGCCAATAGTCTTGATCACGCCAGGTCTTGGGAGGGCCATATGCCCGGGCACAGAGGCCAGGCCCGGCAGGGGGCTGTAGGGGTGCGAGCGGGGATACGGGTTGGACATGGAGGTGATGACAGTCGGCTGCACCATCCACTGCAGGTCCTGGCTGGTTGTGATGGCGTTGATGGTGGGAATGAAGGCACTGCCTGAGCCAGGCATATCGACCCGGAATTTCTAGGGGAGGAGAAAGATGCGACTGAGCCAACTTGCATGTGCACAGCAAGACCCTGAGCATGTGCACACAGGCAGAGCTGAGACGAAGCCCGGCGAGACAGTGGGGATCCTTGGACACGTCCTAACAAGTCCTGAACCTCTGAGAACCCAAGGGAGCTTAACTCCCCCAGGGACCTGAGTCTGTCTGCTCCTTGATGGGGGTCCTCACAGCCCCATCTCCAGGCGGCTCAATGAAGATGCCGCCACACCCCAAATGACTTCCAGGACAGATGAGGCCCCTCACCATGCCCGGCAGGCCTTCAGGGAGCCTCAGGACGCGCACGTGTGAGGTGGCACCTGGGCCTTCAGGCCCGAGTCACCTGCCAAGTATCCCCAGGCCCAGCTCAGAAAACCTGCAATGATGCACACGACAGCGGCTTTGGGGTAGCAGAGACCGGGCAGCACAGCAGCTGCCTGCTGCTTTCCAAAGAGGCCAGGATACCGTGATGCCCACTGGGACAAGACCAGGTCCACACACCGCTGTCCTCCAACCCCTGAGCCAATGAGCAGTGGGGTCCCATGGCTGTCCTTGTGCCCCTCCTTTCCCTTCCTTGGCATCTGGTGAGGGCAGGTGGCCACAGGGCCTCTCTACCTACACACACATGCGCACCAGCGGTGCTGGCGGATGTATCTGCAGGAACCGGCACGGCCAGTATCATGCTTTCCCGGCTGAGCCTGCGCCCAGAGCCCGTTGCAGGGCTCCTGGGACATGCTGAGGAAGCACCTACTCGAAATGGACAATGATGACAGAGTACAAGCTAGCATGGCCTCGTGCCTGCGCGGTTGGCCTTGGCCCCCCAAGGCAGGTCTAAGATGGGGGGGAAGAGACCCCCCCCCAGCGACCCTCAGAGGATCCCTGTCTCTGCAGAAAGCCCCCAAACAGCCCCCACTGAGCTGCAGCTGACCCCGGCAGCAACCATCACCACAGTGGTAGCACTCACTGCAGACAGACACCAGCCAGCGTCCCAGCCAGGGGACCGTGGGTTCTCCTCGAGGCGAGAGGACCATCACCCCCACACTGGAGGTGGTGTGGACCGGGGAGGCTGAGGGGCGCAGCCCGCTGGGGCTGCACGGCACCGGCCCTGGTGTCCCCCCCCCCCCCGCCCGCTGACCTGCCCTCCGGGAGGTCCACAACCCTCACCCAGTGACACCCCGCCAGGGCTGTCACACTGCTGCAGGCCTCACGCCAGTCTAGGAGACCGGGCCAGGACCGGAGCACCAGCCCACCCTCCTGTGACATACACCTCTGGGCTCCTGGAGCGGAGCAGGAGAACTCCAGAGACTGATGGCGCCGGGCCCTCCTGGGGTGCGCGGCCCCAGGCCGGGGCATCCAGTAAGGAGGGCTGCCGGTGTGAAGGATGTTGGGATCATGCTGGCGCAAAGGATGTTGGGATCCCGCAAGGAGGGCAGCCGGCGCCAGGGATGCTAGGATCCTGCGAGAAAGGCTGCCCGCGCGAGGGACGCTGGGATCATGCCGGCGCGAGGGGTTCTGGGATCTCACGAGGAGCCTTCTGGCCCTGTGGTCCTGGGCGCCCGCCCAGCGGCCCCTAGGAAGGCCAACAGCACGCACAGGGCGGACACGAGGTCTGCCATGGGGCAGAGCTGGGCGGGTGGCACCGCGGAGCTGGCCTGGACTACTGTGCCGGCCCGAGCACCCTTGACCTCGCCACGCGCTCCGCCTTCCCGGGACAGGCACGTGGCTCGGGTGGCCAGGCGGCCCCAGAGAGCCCCGAGGGACGCCGAGGACACCCTCCGGGGGAAGGCGCCTGCGTCACCCGCACGCGGCCGTCCCCTCCATGGCGGCTGCAGACGCCTGGGCTCCGGGCCACACCCACTGCGGTCATTCCGCATCTCTCCCAGGCCAGGCTCTGCTGGGAAGGCCAGAGGCCTCGCTGCCCCGCAGCCTCGCTGCCCCGCCTCCGTGAGGGCCTCACATTCCTCCCAGGAAAGCACCCAGGGAAGCCACTCGGCAAGGGCCCTGTCTCAGGCCTGGGGAAGCAAGTTGGAGCCTGAGACCCTTCAGAGGTGCGCCGGCCACCCCTCCCACCCCAGGCCACCGCGTGCAGGTCGGCAGGATACTCGGGTGCTCCAGCCAGATTCCTTGCAGCCATGTTCAGTCTAGACAAAACAAGACGGCAATAAAAACCAGGCAGGAGGTAATGACTGCCTCCGAAACAAAACGCAGGTACACCTTGTTTCCAACAGGAGGCCAAGCCATCTGGATGATGCAGTGGCTCCAAGCTGCAAGGAAAACAATGTCCCATCCCCAGAGGGGCCTGGCTCTGAAAAGAGGCTTGTCTCCGGGAGAAGCCTCTCTACCAGACACACAAGCTTCAGTGAGGCCTGCAGATGGGTCCCATTTCCACCTGCAGCCTGGGCTTCAGAAAACCACACTGGGGTCGGAGAGAAGAGGTGAGGTAGGAGTTTGTGACCCGAAGTCAGCCTGGCATTTTCTGACGGACCCAAGACCCCGGCCAATGTCGCCGGCACGCTTCTCTACAAATGAGCCACCAAAAAACAGACACCAAGACTGAGCCTCCCCACAGCCAACACTGAGGCGGTTTTAGCCCTGCACGGACCAGGTGTGCGGTGGGCATGGGAGTGAGGGCTGGGGAGGTGACCGGGACCTCCCTCGGCTCCCCTAAAGCAGGATGGAGGATGCTGGGAGGCCATGTGGCATTCCAGCCAGGCAGCGCCTCCAAGTATGTGATTCACTGTGTCACCCTGTCGACTTCTGGTGGGCAGGAATGGCTAGAAACCGACAAAGTGGATCCCACTGACCCAGAGCAGAGCCTGCAGACTTTTACCATAAAGGACCAGGTAGGAAACAGTTTCAGCTTTGTGGGCTGTGCGGTCTCTGTTGCAGTTCAGTTCTGCCATTGTAGCATGAAGGCGGCCCAGATGACATGTAGACAAACAGGCAACTGTGCCACTAAACTCTATTTGTCAAAATAATTGGCCCTGGTGTGCCAGGCCTTGTCCTAGGGGACATTCTCACCTCCTGTGCTCAGGTAGGAAGAGGAAGAATGCAGAGAGGAAATAAGCAAGTAAGGGATCAGAACTGGGCTATGCCTCCCTGCCAGAGGCCAGGGGACCGCTCCTGTGTCAGCTGGACTCTCCCACCCAGACCCTTCCAAGTCTTGCCGCAGCCTTCCAGCATGGTACCCCAGTGCCCTGCAGCACCCTAAGCCCAGGGGGCCGCGTGGTGAGCGTGTGTGAGCCCCTCCCACTGCCCTACAAGAGACAGCAGATCACAGGGCGCCACAGAAGCCCCACAGTCCTACAGCTGCTGATGGGAAAACTGCCTCCCAGGACTCCACAGCGGAGCCTGGATTCAGAAACGAGGGTCACCTGCACAGCCTCCTGCTGGCGGGCTCAGAACCGGGCTTTGGGTCCCCACAGGCCTGGATGGCAGGGTTCATCCCAGAGCCTCCAGCGAACAGAACCGTACTTGAGGTGGGAGTCAGGGTTGGCATCCTCGACCCCTCTCCTCAGCCAGGCACTCCTCTGTCAGGTGATTCCTGCCTGGGCCACCAAGCGTTCAGGCCATGTGCCCCAAGGACTCTGGGACCTGCCTCATGAGGTAAAAGGTATGATGGAGTGTGTCTGGGGGGGGCGGGCTCTTCCTCCTAAGTACCCCTTCTTCCGCGTCCCAAGATGGCAATGGAAAATTCCAGCATCCCTGAAGATTGCTTAGAAAAGCAAAGGCTGGGCCAGGGCTGGGCTGCCCCCCACCCTTCCCTGGTGGCCCTGACGAGGGCCAGTCTAACACAGGTGCTCTGCATTTTTGCCGAACTTGTTCTCCAGAGCCTTCCATGTGGAATCCAACTAGCCTTCACAGATTCTGCCTCGAACTTCACTTTGCACTCTGATCTTCGTTCCTCTCGGAGGAAATCCCACATGTCACAATGGAAGTTGCTGCTGGTAACTCCTGACGTCCCCAAGCAGTGCCCACAGGCCTTCTCAGGTGACCCACCTCCCACCAGCCTCCGCTCCTTCCCAGTTCACTTGAGAGAACCCTCTGCCTCCCTGCCAAGGTGAAGAGAACAGGGAAGAAACGCAACCACCAGGAAGGAGAACAGTGGCCAGTATGGGGTTTTCCCTGGGCCCCAGTTTCCTCCAGGCCCCGTCTGGCTGGGAGCCCCCTCCAGAGCACTGGGGAGGTCCTGCCATGACTCTGGGCCCCTCTGCACCCCTCCTGTACCCGGCCGCTCTGTGCTCAGTGGGAAGGACGTGTCTGCTCATCCTCCCTCGGAGCCACAGGAGGTGTGACTGGCAGAGTCGCAGGCTGCAGGAAGGGGGAGAGACGGTGGCCAGGAGAAACCTTACCCTTCTGGCTGGCTCAGGGAGCCGAGGTGGGATAGAGTTACCAAGCGGGGTTTGGAACAGATGCATGTGCCTCAGTCGGGGCAGCTGCTATCCTTTTGAAATCTTGTGGCCACCAAAGATGCCACATGCAACGTTGGTGAGACACAGCCACAAAGTCAGGGCGCTACTCTTTTCTCTTTCTTTCAACGAACAGACCAGAGTTGGTGTCCTTCATTCTCAAAACCAGTACCTCTGTTCCTTTCCAACAGAGGAAAAACTCCAAGTGATCGACGGCAAGGTGTCACCAAAGGTGCCTGCTCTGGTGTGCTGGGTCCCGGGAGCAGCAGCACTTGGTCACACTCTACGCTGGACCCAGTCTGATCACCCAGACTTTGTATACCAGACTTGGTTCCAAATAGCTTTTGATAATTTCCAAATATCAAATTCACCCTTCAAAGGACAAAGGTTTGTGAGCAGGGAGGATTTTCAAAAGAACACGCTGAAAGCAGTTCCAGAAGCGGGGCACTGCTCACCAGTCTGAGTCCAAGCGGTGGTGGCATTCAGTCTCCTCAAGGACAAACAGTGAAGGGACAATAGTGACATGGACTAGACGTTCTGGTGGGTTTGTATTAAGACAGAAGAAAAAAGT